TCTGCAAGCTTTCCCAGAGCTAATAGTGGATCAGGAGCAGGACCACTTTACTTGCCCTTCCGATCTACCTGGTAGAACGGTGGGGGGTGTGACATGGGGGATGATTAGCTCTAGTGGTAGATGCTTTCCAAGTGAGTCCACGCTAGTCAGAAACTCTTTTTTTAGGGCTTGGTAGCCCACTTTTATTAAAAGTTAAGAAACCAAAAACACAAAAGTCCAAAATAAGATTTTCCACACAGGGGTTCTGTTAGGGATCCGGGTATGACCAGAAATGTGTGGACTGACACAGGGAAACACAGGCTCCAGGTATAGTATAAAACAATACAATTTATTAAAGACTAAACAATACATAAATGCAGTGCAAGACTAAACATAAACACAGTGCAACCAAACCTCCAACAGATAACAATAAGAACAATACTAAACGTAGTCGGGCAGGCCGGGTCGGTAGCAAACGGGCAGGCAAGGTACAAGGAGCAGGCGGAAGCGTAGTCAGGAATAGCCGAGGTCAGGACAGGCAGAGTTTATGCAGTTAGGATTAAAGCAGAATCAGGATCAGGCAGGAAGCAGACAGGATGCAGGTACAGGGGCTCATGGGAAACATACACCAAGGCCCTGATCACAGGCCTGGCCATTCCTTAAATACACCTGCTGTAATCAGCCTCAGGTGATGGCTCATTGCAGGAGTGAGCCTCTGGTTGCTGAGAGCACCCGCTAGCCAGCCCTGGTACTGCAGCCCACAAGGCAGGTGAGTCCCACCACCACTGGCAAGTCCATTCCTGACAGGTTCTTCTCCAGTTGTAAATAGAAATGACAAATTACCAAGCCTCCTGGCTACTGCTCATTAGCCCTGCTGATCAGCAGTAACTCTGCTGGTATGGGTCTCCCAGACCCCTGGTTAGTCCCGGCACACAGTCTTGGACTCCTTTAATGCACACAGCATTGAGCTCTTTTGATGCACACAGCTTTGAGCCCTTCAACGCACACAGCTTTGAGCCCTTCAATGCACACAGCTTCTGTCTAACACATAGGCACTCAATGTCAGCCACTGCATCCCCCTGCAACTCTCAGCAAACCATCATTATATGGGCTGTGAGCACCTGGGCCCACACCCTGCTGGTTGACTTCAAACTCTGGACACTGGATTGGAGATTTCTTCCCTCCCAAGGCACTTTGAAATCTCCAAACTACGGAGCCCCATCCAGAAATATCAAAATCTGGAGAAACCTGCAACAGCAGTTTTCTCCACTCAAAATCTACATTCCGCAGTTCTGTACTTCGCACATGTGCAGGCCCTGTGTCCATTACCAGACCACTTCTACCTGCTTTTATCCTATGACAGGGCCCTACGCTGTTACAGGGGGCAGAGTATTTTTTGCAGGCATCCAGGCTGTTGGCATCAGGTCCTTGAGGAGGGACTCTGCAAGCTGGCCCAGAGCTGTTTCTGGATCATGAGCAGGACAACTTCCCTTGCACTTCTGATCCACCGGGCAAAACGGTGGGGGGCAGAGTATTTTTTGCAGGCACACAGGACTTGTAGTGCACAAGTAGATCACATGATACATTTAAAAAAGTGCTAAAGATGCATTTCCAGAAAGTGTTTGCGACACATATTGTATGACAACACAGAATCTTCATAGCTTCAGCCTCATAGGGGAATTGGCTAGATATCAAGTAGCACACTGGGCACGTGCAAGATATTTAAAAAATATTGCAGCACTGGCAAACTTAGGGTACTGGTTACACATACAAGTGGTACAGCATAGAATCCATATAGTATTAACCCCTTAAGGGGATGCAAAAGGAGACAAAGTACACAGGTCAGGCTCCACTAAAAGGGAGGCAAGCTGCCTTATCGCAGTGGTGGTCTGAAGAGCACCCTGCAGCAAACAGACACATCAGTAAGGTGCCAGTGCAGGACCTGGTGAGATATATCACATTCCAGACAGTCTTTGCCCATCCTGTCACCATATTCCCAAAAGAGTCATCAGTGACAGGATTTTGCCAACAGGTATATCTTGACTTTGGACCTGTAGAGCACTCTGTGGCTAACTAACACAACTCACTAGGTGCCTGGATAGGGCCACAAGCAGAGCCCAGCTCCCTAAGGTCACATTACAGGCAGACTGTGTCTTGATCAAAACTACAGTAGGTCTTGGTACAGCCTCCAAGACTGGGGATTAGCCAATCCAGAAATCTGCAAAATGAGCTTTCATAGTTTTGCAGCAAGGAATCCTGATTGCCTTGATAAAACAAAGTCAAAAGTAAAAGGGTTTTGCTTTTCTCTGTTTAGAGAAGATCTCTATTATCATAGGACACTAGCAAAAAACTGAAGCATGATGGCAGTGGGAAGGGTTATACTGGTTGATTAACAATATTTTTGTTGCCAGTTCTCCTGAATTCTTAAATTACTTCTGACTCTGTCCCTTAATGAATGATAAAGAAATTGTATTTGTATGTCCTTAATTTACTGTGTAAGATTCAGTGAGACGGGTTTTCCTCTGCTACATTGTGGCAGTTTTTTAAGGTGTATCTTTAGGTAAAACCTCTTTTTTTTCGTTTTGGATAGAATGAGGAAGGATTAAACCTTTTGATAAGTTTTTAGTGGTGTCTTTGCACCCATTGGGTAGATTCACCCCTTTATTTGTATTGGTGATTGTTGTCACAGAAAAAAAAAAAATGGGGAGAAATCCAAAATTTTACAGTTGTGTCTAGAACAAGGGGTATGGGGGAAATTATCCAGTGGGGACACCTGCTTCAAGAAAAACTGCCTAAAAGGGGTATTCCCTTCTAACATCCTGTTGCATCTCTTGCCTTTTGTAAAATTATTGTTTAATGCAAATATCACACCTGTAGGTCTTTTCTGAAAGCCTGGCTATAATACTCCTAATGTTCTTGACTGAAATACTCCTATATCTTCACTTATTCAAGGACATGGTCTACAACAAGATGGCCAGGAGGAGTCTCCATTTGTAATAACTTTGTACCAGAATTATAACACAGGTCTTCAAAAAATTGTTTTCAAGAGCTGTTTTAGTTATTCCACGTAATCTTTATGTTTTGTGGTGCGCTGAATTCGAAAATGACCTCCATTTTGTCATAGGACATCACGTTTCCTGACAATTTAGGTAACTATGTTAAATAAGGCAATACCTCAAAATAAATGGAGATAGACTCATGAAATTAAAGTTTTATTACAATTTTTTCATGAAAATCCTTTTTTGAACTGAAATGAGCTCACCTACACACACTAAACTTGATTTTTCTTCCCTGTGAGGCTCCTCTTGGTGCATTTACACTTGTGAGTAGCATCTGGAATGTCTCTGTGAAGCATCCAACAGTAGTCTGCCATCATTGTAATTCTCCATTTTCCCTGGTATCCTTTCCATCTCTTTAATGTCTTAGTGGAATCGTTCACCTTGTTCCTCACTCACAGCTCCCAAATTTTCAGGAAAGTAGTCACGGTGGGACTGGAGGAAATGCACTTTCAAACTCATCAGGCAACCTAAAGCTTGAAATGCTTTTAGCATTCGTCCGACAATCTTTTTGTAATAAGGATTTTTGTTATTGCCTAAAAATTTCTGTACGACTTCTTTAAATGCAATCCACCCTTCTTTTTGAGGATCCGTCATGGTATTGACAAACTCTTGATCAACTATAAGCCTTCTAATGTCTGGTCCGATGAACACACCTTCCTTCAATTTTGCCTCTGACAGGCCTGGAAACTTGGTGACCAAGTAATTGAAGCATTCTCCACCTCTTGGAAGTGATTTTACGAATTGCTTCATCAATCCCAATTTTATGTGGAGAGGTGGTAGAACTTTATGGGAAGGTACCAAAGTTTCTCGGAGGACATTTTTTTCACCGACTGTTAGCACACTTGGCTGCCAGCTCTTCTTGGTCCAGTGAATTTGTCGGTCTCGACTGTCCCATAGACACAGAAAACAAGGGTATTTGGTATCCCACCCACTGGATTCTTCAGGAAAGATTAACCCCTTCTACCATTAGAAGCACAGACTCAGGACTGAGGCTTACACATACAGCATGCTGCTGAGTATCCCAGTAGTCAGACATGTCACTCAGAGTAGCACTTGTATTCAATGCCTTTGCAGGGGGGGAGGGGCAGAGATTGTTTACCTGCAAATAACAACAAAAGGCCAGAAGAGAACTAGGGAAATGAGGAAATAGCATTTTTTTCCCTAAAACTTGCTTAGCTTAGAAATATTTTGCTGACCATCAGATTTACAGTGCTATATTTTTTTTTTTACATAACTCGGACAACCCCTTTAAGGTTTTTTTGGCATTTTATGTCTTAAATGCACTTATGTGAAGTAATTAATAATTAATTTGGACTTTAAATTTGGTTAAAAACCCATAATATAAAAAAAATACCAAAAATTTTAAAGATTTGATAAATTTGAAGACAATTTTGCATTTTGTGGCAAATCATGACGTCTAGGAGTTTTTTCAATATTTTATTTGTTTTCAGCACACCAAAATAAATGGAAATTAGATGAAAATAATCAAACAGCTTTTTAGTCGCAGACCTGTGTAATTGTAGTGCCATGAATGGAAAATTCTATAATTCAATTTATATTTTTATTATTTTCTTTAACTAACACTGATCAAGGCATAGAAAAATACGGCTGCAGGAAAGGGGCCTTAGTGCCCACATGTCGCATATATGTGTTCATAGTGTCTGAGGTTTCTGTGCTAAGAGCTGTCACAGACAACTCCAGGTCCCTGTTAATGTTCAGGAGCTAGCGGACAGGGCTGATCATGTGACCACTATGGCGGCCAATCACAGTGATCATGTGTTCGGGAAGTCTGTCCCAGTGTTAGGATTTGTTAGAAATGTAGGAATTGCTCTAGTCCATAAGGGGTATGCAAGTTTGAAAGCTATAGTGTTATAGTTAATTTTTACTAATTAAATTACTTCACAGGTACACATAAAAATCATTATCACAAAAGGTGTGAAGTTTGTAGGCTATCCTGGGAAACAGTACCTAATCCGTAAGCTTTGTGTGGCACCAGGGGAGACTAAACCCACATCGGCTGTGTTTTCATTTTCTGAACTTGGACAGGAAAATATATCAGGTGAGAATGTTTTTTTTTTATTCGTGTATTTTGAGAAGGGTGACTAAGCAGTTACAAAAATCTACCAGTGTACAGGTATATGCTGCAGTTCAGCAGTATTTTAATTATATGCTTATTTGTTACAGGTATTTACAGTATATACTAATGCTGACAATTTACACAACTCTTTAAATACTGTACATTCATATCGGTCCCTGTTCTCAAGAAGCATACTACCTAAGGCAGTGGTTCTCAACATGTGGGTCGCGACCCCTTTGGGGGTCGAACAACCCTTGCACAGGGGTCGCCTAAACCATCGGAAAACACATATTTCCAATGTGTAAAGAGCAGCTACTGTGTAGAAAACAGCTACTGTGTTGAAAGCAGCTACTGTGTTGAAAGCAGCAGTATTGGAGGTAAAACGACACTTCATGAATTATAATTAATTAAATAATTTTATGGGTAAATAATTTTTATGGTTGGGGGTCACCACATCATGAGGAACTGTATTAAAGGGTCGCGGCATTAGGAAGGTTGAGAACCACTGACCTAAGGTCCCTATTTCACATTCATACATACAGACATGTACATAATAGGGTCAGTTTTGACAGGAGCTATTTAACCTACCAGCATGTCTGTAAAGTGTGGGAAGAAACCCATGCAAGAAGACTCCATGTATATAGTGCTAGTTAGGATTCAAATCAAAGATCCCAGTGCTGCAAGGCAGAAGCACTAAGCCGCTGTGCATTCTGCTGTGTAAATATGTTCTTGGATTTTATTTTACAAAGGTCACTGCATGGTGCTAAAATAATAAATAATATAAATTATTTTGATGTAAATACTTTACCAATAAATTAGTTTAAATGCCTATAAGTGCAGCGCTGTGATATATATATATATATATATATATATATATATATATATATATATAGCATTCTATTTATAACATCAGTTACTCAGTGTATAACATATATCCATATATTGTGTAGGTGAGTGCTAGGTAAATTATGAAGTATAGAAATTCGAATTGTCGAATAAATGCTCTGAGAATAGCTGTCAGCAATCTGGATACTATCGACAATGATCTCAAAATCAAATTCAAAGGTATAAGTGCAGCGCTATAAATGCATGTAACATAAATACCATATAATAATAAAGTGCAGAGACGTGCATCAAAAGTGCAACTATGTGCATCAGTATGCGTCTGTGACATCTGTAACAATAATTCAGCAGGCAATAAAACCTAATAATGTCCTTTATGGAAGGGTAATTATTCCAAGTGCCAAAGTGCAAACGTGCAGTTATACATGACATGCAGACGTGTAGAAATTCATGAAAGGAATCCACCACTTGGGACTGATGTACACTCACCAGACAGAAAATGTTAATGCGCGTTTGTTTATATCACACATCTGGGGGTGCAGTGGTCTACTGATAGCTCCGGATCTAATGCTGTAGCTCCATCCATCCATCCATTGGGACAGGTCTCCTGTGATCGGGGGGGGGGGAATCAGCTCAGCCACAGGGGCCAAAATGTGCTTTATATAGTGTAGTATTTATTTCAAATCATGTATCAGACATAAAAAAATATCCTCCACGTGGAGTAATACAATTCAAGGAAAAATAATGATGTACCAAGATGGCTGCTGCTTCTCAATAGCGGCGGCGTGACGTCAGCAATGAGGCTCCACCCATATCCTCAGCGGTATGCCCCAGGTTAGCACAGTCCAACTCTGATTGTTTGGCAGCTTCCAGCATGCGTGCAACACTCAACCAGGACTCTTTCTCAAACTGCTACTCTCCAACCTTAGCACTAGGAACTTCCTGCACTTTTGATGCACTTCTCCGCACTTTATCATTATATGGTATTTATGTTACATGCGTTTATAGCGCTGCACTTATACCTTTGAAGTTGATTTTGAGATTGTTGTCGATATCCAGATTGCTGACAGCTATTCCCAGAGCATTAAGTCGACAATTTATGTACTTCATAATTTACCTAGCGCTCATCTACACTATATATGGATATATGTGATACACTGAGTAATTGATGTTATAAATAGATTGAGATATATATATATCTATATCTATATATATATATATATATATATATATACTGTATATATATATATATATAGTTGTGTTCAAAATAATAGTAGTGTGTTGAAAAAAGTGAATAAAGCTCAAAATCCTTCTAATAGCTTTTATTTCCATACACACAAATGCATTAGGAACACTGCACATTCTATTCCAAATCAAAATATGAAGAAAAATATATCAAATTTGTGTTGTTTCTCTAAAAAAATTGACGAAAAGTGATTATTAGACTGTTCAAAAAAAATAGCAGTATTTGTATTCTTCTTTACAAAATCAAACATTCACCATATAAACTGAAAAAATGTTTGAAGATTTTGCTTTCCTTTGAATCACTTAATTAATATTTAGTTGTATAAGCACTGTTTGTGAGAACTGCTGTACATCACAAGTCAACCACAATTTCTGGTATTCCAGCCCAGGATGATTGGATTACATCCCACAGTTCTTCTCTATTTCTTGGTTTTGCCTCAGAAACTGCATTTTTGATGTCACCCCCCACAAGTTTTCTATTGGATTAAGATCCGGGGATTGGGCTGGCCGCTCCAGAACGTCAATCTTGTTGGTCTGGAGCCAAGATGTTGCACGTTTACTGGTGTGTTTGAGGTTGTTGTCTTGATGGAACACCCATTTCAAGGGCATTACCTCTTCAGCATAAGGCAGCATGACCTCTTCAAGTATTCTGATGTATTCAAACTGATCCATGATCCCTGGTATGCGATAAATAGGCCAACACCGTAGTATGAGAAACATCCCCATATCATGATGCTTCACTGTCTTCACAGTGTACTTTGGCTTGAATTCAGTGTTTGGGGGTCGTCTGACAAACTCGGGCCACTAGACCCAAAAAGAACAATCTTACTTTCATCAGTCCACAAAATGTTGCACCATTTCTCTTTAGGCCAGTCAATGTGCTCTTTGGCAAATTGTAACCTCTTCAGCGCGTCTTTTTTTCAACAGTGGGACTTTGCGGGGGCTTCTTGCAGATAGCTTGGCTTCACATAGGCGTCTTCTAATTGTAACAGTACTTACAGGTAACTTTAGACCTTCTTTGATCTTCCTGGATCTGATTGTTGGCTGAGTCCTTGCCATTTTGGCTATTCTTCTATCCATTTGAATGGTAGTTTTTCGCTTTATTCCACATCTTTCAGGTTTTGGTTGCCATTTTAAAGCATTTGTGATCATTTTAGCTGAGCAGCCTATCATTTTCTGCACTTCTTTATATGTTTTCTCCCCTCTCCAATCAACTTTTTAATCAAGGTACGCTGTTCTTCTGAACAATGTCTGGAACGACCCATTTTCCTCAGAATTTCAGAGAGAAATGCACTGTAACCAGCATGTACAACATTTGCTGCCTTCCTTCCTTAAATAAGGGCAATAATTGCCACCTGTTTTTCAAAGAATGAATGACCTCACTAATAGAACTCCACACTGCTATTATATTGAACATGCCCCTTTCAATTAGTGATTCAATTACACAGAATCAGCAGCATGCATGTAATGACTGTTGGGTCTGTTGGATTTCTATTACTCTACTACACCTGCTAGTAAATTATTTGCCATGTAGAAATATCATTTCTACCAAAAACAGTGATTGATCAGCTTAGTAATGTCTGACTGCTATTATTTTGAACACAACTGTATATATATCACAGCGCTGCACTTATAGAAATTTGATACGTTTATTGGGACTGTTGCCTATGCCCTTTAGTGCCAGCAGCTATCTGGAATTACTACCAACGTTGAGCGTTTTATGCGCTCTCTAGCACATTTATTTTAAATTAGTTTAAATGCAGATGTCAATTTGATCTCCAAATAAACACGTCGAAAATGGCGAATTAAGGAATTTAACAGAGGTACAATTAAATATAAAAATGTATATATGCTTGCATGTCACTCAAGAAATTCTGTTGCTGACAACAATTTGCCACTGACAGAGTCACTAAGAATCCATTCACCTTATTTTAATGGCATCACTTTTCTTGCAGTTTGGTTCTGAGATGTCATTCTTTTACTGCTCACTCATTAATGCTTGGGAATTCTTTCTCATCCATTAAAAGACATGGACATTTTTTAAACTTTCGGATTATGTTGGCGTCTACATGAGAAATAGAAACTGGCATAAAAAAACGGTTGATCAATACAAGATAACCTAACCCACAATTATCATGCCTCAATTTTTTGCTATTGTCCTCAAGAGAGTGGACTTTTTTCCAGCTCTGCTGTTCTATCAGCTGCAGTTCATTTTCATGCCAAATATATTAAATCCTGGATGTCTCTCAAGGCATCCAATGAGTTTTTCCCAGTATTATATTGGTGTTCTCTCTGTGACAGCTCTGAATTTCTAGTTTCTCCAGTAAACTACAGCTACAGGCCAGATGGAAATACTGGGCAGCTCTCCATTTAGCCAAGTGGTGTGGGTTCCCAGTTTATAATCTATACTGGTGTTCTCTCTGTGACAGTCCTGGGTCAGTAGCGACTACCTGTGTTTAAGCTCACACAGGAATCCACTACTTAGATCAGTCAAGTATGTTTGGGGATTCTTTATGGAATTATCAGTCCAGAGCTGTGACAGGCTTCTAGTCCCTGTCACTGTGGTTGGAACCTAGCAGGCTTATACTAGGTTTTTGTTTCCTCTCTTCGGTACTCAGGATATTTGCTATAGAAAGAACTGTACCTTAATGGCCATTTTTGGGGAGTTAAAGAAAAACTCTGGGATAGGCAAAAAAATCAACCGTTAGTACACCACCCTACATAAAACACTAAACAGTTATTACATTTGTGAAATTCCTTTCCATTGAAGAGAAAAGTCTAATTGAATTTTCAGGAGGTTATCTCTGTAACAAAAGATAACAGCATCTGCTGTGCCAAGGAGGAGATGTAACAGCATGGACTACATCATATTCTCTCCTCTTGGGAAACTACAC